AGAATGATGTTGGTAATTTAATGGGTATTGCGTTGAATCTGTAGATTGCCTTTGGTAGGATGGACATCTTAACAATGTTGATTCTTCCTATCCACGAACATGGAATATTTTTCCATTTGTTTGTGTCTTCTTGGATTTCTTTGAGCAGTGTTTCATAGTTCTCATTGTAAAGGTCTTTCACTTCTCTGGTTAGGAAGATACCAAGGGTGTTTTTTATTTTTATTTTTGTGTGTGTGGCTATTGTGAAAGGGTTTGTGCTTTTTATTTGGTTCTCTGCCTGCTTGTTGTTGGTGCATAAGAATGGAACTGTCTGTCTTTTGCACATTTATTTTGTATCCCAAGATTTTGCCAAAGTCCTTTATTAGTGCAAGCAGGTTTTTGACAGATTCTTTTGGATTTTCGAGGTATAGAATCATATCGTCAATAAAGAAGGATAACTTGACTTCCTCTTTTCCTATTTGATTACCCCTGATTTCCTTCTCTTATCTAATTGCCCTAGCTAGAACTTCTGACACAATGTTGAACAAGAGAGATGAGAGTGGGCAGTCTTGTCTTAATCCAGTTTTCAGGGGAAATGTTTCCAGTTTCTGTTCATTTAGGAAAATGTCAGCTGTGGGTTTATCGTAGATGGCACCTACTATTTTGAGGTATGTTCCTTCTATACCTAGGTGTTTGAGGGTTTTTATCAAGAAGGGATGCTAGATTTTATCAAAAGCTCTTTCTGCATCTAATGATATGATCATGTGGTTCTTGTTTTTATATCTGTAGATGTATTTAGTTACATTTATTGTCTTGCGAATGTTGAACCAGCCCTGCATCTTGGGGATGAAGCCTACTTGGTCATGGTGGATGATTTTTGAGATGTGTTTTTGCATCCGATTTGCTAGAATCTTGTTGAGGATTTTTGCCTCTCTGTTCATAAGGGATATTGGCCTGTAGTTCTCTTTTTTTGTTGGATCGTTACCCAGTTTGGGTATCAGTGTGATGTTAGTTTTGTAAAATGATTTGGGGAGAATTTCATCTTTCTCAATTGCCTGGAATACTTTCAATAGGATTTGTTTGGTCTTCTTAAAGTGCTCATAAAGCATAAATTCTCTAGTGACTGAAAATGTAGTCATATAGCAAAGGGGAAGAAATGTATAATATGTTATATAATGCAGATATGGCCTATACTATAAGGTCATTTATTATTAACCACATTATTCCATGAAAGCTCTAGTTAGAAATTCTGATGTTTTGAATAACATTTAATCCAACACTTTTGCCTCTTAAGTCCATGCTTCTTCATCTACTTACCTTCATGACCATATTATAGGCATTGTTTATCATTACCCATAAACTCTAAGGTCTCTCTATTGCACATCCCACTCTTTGACAGCTATTTTTCTGACAATCCAGATGACTTCTCTGGTAAGTAATTGGCCCCATCGAAACATGCATTCCACATCCTCTCTATGTACCACCCACCTCATTACCTGGTTTGGGGTCTATGGTTCACCACCATAGGTTCTCCCTTGTATCTTCCCCTTAATCACACTCTCCAAGCAAATTCAGCCCTGGTTAACCCAGTTCTCCACCTACTCCATGCAGAGCAGCTGGAAATAACTGGAGAAAATACTCATCTCTCCAGAATTGTCTTAATTTAAATTTAAGATCACAAATCTCAGCTGGGCTCGGTGGCTCAGCCTATAATCCCGTGCTTTGGGAGGCTGAGGTGAGTGGATT